TTCTTCTCAATCTCTGGCTCTATAAGAGACTGGCACTGGTGGAGCTGACTGACTTTATACTGGGACCCAGTGAGGCTGACTCATGTCCTCTTCAGCATGGGCCTACAGGGCCTTAATCAAACCGACACACCACAATTCTGCACAGACACAGCAGTCCCATCAAAACCTTTCTTGTTGTTTGAACCTTTCTTGCTTTCTAAAATCTCCCTTACCTGCACAGACACAGCAATCCCACCACACATCTACCAGGCCTCAAACGAAGAGGCACTAATGGCTCTCACCTGCGCTTATAAGGAGGGAGGGCTCTCTCTAACCCTACCTACAGGGGGCGCTGCTCCTAACCTAAGTGCCGGCTCTCACACGTACATTTTTAAAAAATAATCGCAGATAAAAAATATTCTTTGAGCTTGTTGGTGGTTCCGTGGCAATCTGACTTTTCTCCTTTAACCTCCATAAATGTGTTAAAACTCGGTTTGTTTAGTAGAGAACCGGTAGAATGACAGCACACTGGTAGAGGTGGTTAAGACATAAAACAGCTTTGTTCAGGAAAGGACAACGGTTTGTCTTCAAATAGCTGCTGTATCAGGGTTTAGGGCCTATGATGTGGTAAAACAATGAACATTTGTCATTTCTGCCACTAGGGGTCTCTCTATTACAACCATAACAAAGGACGACTCAGACGGAGCATCACCGTCTCATTCACCTGATGTTCAGTCCTGTTTGTTGCATTCATCTGTTTTCTTCCAGCTCTAGTTGGTTTAATGCAGTCAGTCATTAACGTTACTGAAGTGTTAAAGCTGAACACGTTTTGGATCTACATTAGAATCTGGTTTAGTTTCGATGTGCTTCTAACGTCACCGTCACCTCCTCCTGGGGGCTGAGGATGGAAAAGTGTTGGAAAAAATACTTTGCTGTGATGAGAACTATGAGATTTGAAAGCTCAGAAAGTGGTGATTCATTCATTCATTCATTCATTCATTGAGGAGAATGACTGTGGAACAAGAACAAAGGCTCCAACATTCAGCAGCACTGTGGAGGTGTTCCTGATGCCCAGGTTGGTTTGATGGCAATCTTTAGCTCGTCTGTATTTCAGGGTCGGAGTTCCTGTTTCTGACTAGATCTCATGTGGGGTTCTGTGGGCTTCAGGTCAGGTGAGATGCTGGTCATTCAAACAGTAATGTCATGGTCAGCAAACCATCTGATGGTAGCTGTAGCTCTGTGGGCAGCTGCTCAGTCAAAGGAAATCAACATCTCCATGAAGCTTCTCAGCAGACGTAAGCATGAAGCGCTCTAAAGTCTTCTGGTAGAGACTTTGAACTTGATAAAACACAACCAACACCAGCAGATGGCACCACAGATCATCAGACTGCAGAAACTCTGGACTTCAACCACCTTGGACTCTGTTCCTCTCCAGATTCTGTTTGTTCTCAGCCCAGATGAGATCTTCTGACGTCGTCTCTGGTTCAACAGTGGTAGCTCCTCTCCTGAAGACGTCTGTGTTCAGTGGCTCTTGATGTTCTGACACCAGCCTCAGTCCTTGTGAACATCCTCCAACTTCTTGTCTTTTCTTGACAATCCTCTCAAGGCCACACCATCCCTGTTGTCTTCTGGTCGGAGCTCGTGAGGGAGACCACATTACGCCGACTTTACCTTCGCTTCACTGGCTGCCTGTACATTCTAGAATTCACTTTAAGATTTTTTTTTAATCCTTAAATGGTCTCGCCCCACCGTACCTCTCTGAGCTGATTTCTCTTTATTCGCCAGCCCGGTGCCTCGGATCAGCTGATCAGCTGCTTCTGGAGGTTCTGAGGTCTTGGCAGAAGCTCAGAGGGTCTTTGAGCTGCACATTGGAGAAGCACCATCACTGTCTGTTTTTAAAACCCGTCTGAAAACTCACTTTAATGGCCTTCGACATCAGGCTCCTGTTTTATTGGTTTTACTGTTCTAATTGTCCTTTTATTGATTTATTTATACTTTTATTGATTTTTACATTTTTGATGTTTTGAAATTGTTCTACAGTATATTCTGTGTTCAGCACTGATAAGGTTAGAGGATGGATGGATAGATAGATAGATAGATAGATAGATAGATAGATAGATAGATAGATAGATAGATAGATAGATAGATAGATAGATAGATAGATGGATAGATAGATAGATGGATAGATAGATAGATAGATAGATAGATAGATAGATGGATAGATGGATAGATGGATAGATGGATAG